AAAAAAAATAATTAAAAATTTTAATAATGTGCACATAAAAGTGAGGCTGGTCCAAAACCCTTGGGGCCCTTCCAACTGACATAGTTGTAACTGTAGGTGTTAGGACCGTTTAAGTACAATTTGTATACATAAAATAATAACAATGTTGATTTACTCACGACTTTTATGAAAATAATTAATGTTGTAATGACATTGACGAAGGTCATGTAAATGTTGATACTACTGTCCACCGTTGGTTAGGGTGATGACTCTCATCACCGGCGGCAGCTAGACCGGTTCGGTCGCGTTCTCACGGACGTCAATAGAGACGTTGTGATAACGACCGCGACATAACTTATTTTTTCTTAAAATAACTTTGATAATACTATAAATGGTATGGAAAATTTAATTTTAATCTTACTTACTTTTTTAAGCAATCATTATAACAATATAAAGTTCACAATTTGTACAAAATTTCTTGTTTTATTTTTATTTTTTTTTTTTAAATATTTTTTTTAAATATTCCTGCTCTTTATAGTTACTGTAGTAGTATTCTGATATGATTAGGGTGTTAGATGATAGTAATATGTGCGAAATGAGAACTTTTCGGTTGTGCCTTGAAAAGTTTCCCAAAAGGAATCAATCATCATAAATCAACATATTCAATGTTAAACAAATATTATACCGAACAGGTAATTTTTAAGATTTAATAAAAAATAAAATAAAATTTAAAAATGATTAACATAATACTATTATAATAATACTATTTATTAAAAAAAATACTTATATTGATGGAAGCTTGTGTAAAAAAAAAAAAAAAAAAAACGAAAAAAGTTAACATTGCATTCAATAATAATATTCTATTAATTATTCACTAATTATATGCATATTTTTAATTTGAAGGTACAAAGAGCTGTAATTTTAGGTGCAAACTTTTTTAAGATAAGTATATGAACTATTAGAATAGAACACTATATTACACACATTATTTTATTTTTATTGTTTCTCAATTATTGCTTTAAGCGTTATAATAAAGAACTAATATTTGAGGACCCTAAAACAATATTTAACAACCCTTAAGTTGAAAATCATGGCTTTAGATGATTATTATCGAAGGAAACCAATATAAAATCTATACTATAAAATGTGTTACAATTATATTTATTAAATGTTAATCGAATAATTACCCTCTTATTTACCTACTTCAATAATAATGATACTGGTAGCATAATTTGGTTATGTTTGGATTAAATTTCAAACACACAGAATATTTTAAATCACGTACATAATATGATTTCAAGGAACAATTAATTGGAATAGTCAATTTTATCTTGATATAACATACAACAATTGTACAATAATTTTAATTATTAAATTTACATTTTGAAAAACCTTAAAAATTCATAATGAAACAATGGTTAAACTTTAATAAGTTATTTTAAAATCATACTTTTTCTAAAAATCCGATTTACAATATAACTATTTTGGATTTTTTTTTTAAACTGTTGAATAAAATTTATAATTTTCAAACTTGAGTTCTAAACATCAACAAAAAAAAATTTAATGCAATTTTGTTTTATCGCAGTATATAATAATTAAAAATAAAATATTAAACAGAACGTAAGTTATTTCTTTTGTCCAATCATTCTGGGACACCCTCTACACTTGTAAAAAGAATAAATAAATTACATTTTTCACTAAGCTTTGTTCTGTTCTGATGCAATTAATTCATGCATCCCTTTTCATAATAATATTTGTATTAATTTCAAAAAATAACAAACTATATGCTTTTTAAGCTTTGATACGAGCGACAAGTTGTCAGATTTATCAGTTAAACTTCGTTCTAATAAGTAATATTGTGATATTTAACATAGATCATATTCTAATATTTAACACAAAAAAAATAAAAAAGTTTTATTATTTATGTGAATTTCAATGATACTTTGAGTGAATAACTCGTTATAAAACAGATAATGTGAACGTTAAGTTTAATTTTTCATTACATAAGTTCAAAAGCTAGTTTTGGTGTTGCATAAAATATTATTACCAAGTGAACTTTGTCTTTTACCTACTCATTTTCCTATAAATACTTTGTAAATCCAATAGATAACTAATTTAATAATAACGACAATTTAATTTGGCTTCGATTGTTCACTTGAGTGTATTTTTCAGTTAAAGAATAACTCTTTAAGTTAATACAACTCGGAATAACTTGATGTTCTAACAAACAAATTATTTGAAATATTTCAAAGGATTTTGGTAAGAAAATGAAGAGTATTCCTATATGTAGATATTTTGAAGGCAGTATTTTGGGTGCATCACACTCCGCACTATCGGGTAAAAAAAAAAAATCTATATTTTATTTATTTTTATAGAATAATTTTTTTGAATGAACAAACATAAATATTTTTTAGTAATTTAATTTAAATTTGTTTTGTGTATTATATCAAACTCTAGACGTTATACTTAATAATTAATTCCAGGTTTAATTTTTTATTATACGAAGTCTAAAAATATAATCATACCTTGAATATCATAAAATGTAATTATAAAGGTTTCAAAACTATTACATATCGACTACAGAGTTTAAATATTGAAAACTAATAAGTTTGTTATACGCTTAGTATATTCTATCTTCATTAAAATAAAACTAGAGTTATTAATCTCGTTTTGTTTCGAGATCATAAGTTGTATTTTAATTTACTTTAATTATGATTTACTGTCGAAATAATAATATATTAATATTTTAATATTTCATATTAAAACTATACCAAAATAGTGCAGCAAAATACAAGTGTGAAATTATGATATTTCCAGTAAAAAAAAAAAAGTAATAACATTATAATCAGGGCTCGAGACTTATAGCACTAATAAATCATGAAATATACGCTATTGTATGCACCGAAAAAATGTAAAATATGCGCTATAATATGCACTAAAAATATGAAAATATACTTTAAAAATTATTTATTTAAAATTTTTATTTAAACATTTATGAATTTATAAATATTAAAATTTAAAGAAAAATTTTTATATAATTTTACAGTTAATTTTCTACAAATAATGACTAAAAACTCTCCTGTTCTCATTAATTTGTATATGTCAAATTTTGCCAATCTGTAAAATATAATTATTTCAAATCAATAAATCATGAAAAAGTAACTTACAGTGTGTACCTTCATAATTGCACTTATTATATGTTTCCGAAAATTTTCAAACTTGAAAGATCTGTTATTGCTTAATAATGTTTTGTACAACAACAACATTAAGATAAAAGATACGATAAACACAATATTGACTTGCATTGGGATATTTTAGGAATATTTTTTTCAATCGACAATGAGTTTTATAACGTCCCAAAACTGTTGATCACTGATGAGTGGTCGAAATATGTATTTTTGCAAGACTGAGTTTTCGATTTTTACATTAACTAGCAATAAATAGCAAAATAGTCGAAAAAATAGCAAAACCTCTAGAATATGCAAAAATATGCACTAAAAACTTTTAGAATTGAGTTCATTTTTGTCTGAAATGGATTTATTGCTTACTCTGCTATCTTTTCATAAACTACAAAAAAATATGCAAATGCTACAAGTCTCAAGCCCTGATTATAATAATTAAATTATTATTTTATTATTTATAAGAATCATATTTTATATTACTTAAAGTATTTTAATGCATTTTCTTATACTTCTCAAATCAAACATATATTTTTATTCCTTATAGTTATAATTTAATAATTAATATTTAATGCATATTACTACATGTAAGATATAGAATAATTCAAAATTATTTAATTATGAAAGTGAAATAGTATAATTTATATTCATAATAAAATTATTTTATTTTCAAATAATATAGCATTATTTTATAACCATGTTTATCTTTAATAAATTACGAATTGTGTTAGCATAATTGATGGAAATTTTTTTTTTTTTTACATAGATTTCGCATCAATCGATTTTAAATTGAACACATATGTATAGCTACAAATAATTCATTTTTTTTTAATTTATCAAAAATTTAATAATTTAACCAAAAACCATAAAAATAATTGACATATATAATATTATATTATAACATATATAATATACCTTTTTTAATCAGATTTGTACAACTTTTGAGGAACTTTAATTGTTTTTTATATGCTACTGATTACGGACTCTCATTGATACCTATCAGTTTTTAAATATTGGATATACTTTATTATTATAAGTGATAATAGCTCTTTGCTTCGGCAAGTACTGTGCATAAGTTAAACGATAGTAAAACGTTAAAAAGTCGTCAGTATTTTTAATTGTACGATAAGAGAAAAACGCAGTAAAATGTTTTTTCTTATCCAAATGATATAATGAAGTTAACATATGCATCAGGATATCGGCTATTTATAAATATTTATAAACATTGAGTGCGTTAGTTGTAAAACCAATCAATAATTTCATCAAATGCAATAATAAAATATATGCATTGAATTATTAATACGTATGTGTATACATGTGACTTTTGTTATTGAGTCTGCATAAAAATTATACTTTGAAGATTTAATAATACTCGTTCAACTTTAAAAGAATAGTATACAAAATTTTAAATTTCTGAGATATGATTAAAAGTATTTGCTACCTATTTTATTATTTACCTGAATTAATAATTTTAACATGTGTTTAAATTGACTAAAATATTGTATCTATGTAGTATTTAATTTGGATAAATAAGTGCTTGTAAAATAGCTATGACTCAACGTAAATTTATAAATAATATAGAATACTGCATACTAGCTTTCAATCACATGAACATCGTATGGTTTTATTATGCCGTTAATGTTCCAGTTATTTTTATTTGAAATTTACAATTCCATCATTACGGATTGACAAAACATCCAATAAATAAATTTAGTTAATCGATTTTCACGCGACAACGGTTTCTAATTTCTCTTTTATAATATACGTATTTAATATTGATATTTATCCAAAAGCTATGAGTTTCTATAACTGGTTATTTTAAAATATAATTTATTTTTTCAGACGTACAATCTAAACGCTCAAACTGGGGAATCGTCTGCATGTGCCACTGCATTACTTTGTGGAGTAAAAGCAAATTTCGAAACAGTTGGATTGGATGGAAAAGGAAAATTTGAAAGTTGTTATTCCAGTTTTTCATCTAGAGTCGATTCGCTAGCTGACTGGGCCCAACAAGAAGGTATGTTTTTTATTTATTATTATTATTATTTTTGTTGACTTTCCATCTGACTAATCACAGAATTGATTTAACTAGTTACATAACAGATAAGATGTGTTTATTATAAATATCAATAGAATTTAAAAATAGAAAACATTTTTACAACAAATAAAAAACATACATTTATTAATGTACAATTTTCAATAATAATTAAGTTTTTGCCCTCACTTCGTGCAAATAACAAATATTTTATCTAATCTCGCAAAAACCGAATTTTATACTCCCTGAAACTCATTGAATGCAATATATGTATATCACACACTTAAAATGTATTTATTTATTTATTTATTTATTTATTAATATGAATATATTTATTTTATTTTTATTAAAAATAATTTAAGAACCTCCCACAGTACAAAACTATTGTTTTAAAATAAGATCCATCGCGATATTAGGCATAAGGTATACAGTGTTATACACATGGGTTGATTTTCTCAAGAGAATTCGTAGTCGTTAATCAATGTTGTTGAACTTCATACGAAGTTAGCTCGATATTATATCGATCATCTATGACAGAGTATTTGAGGTAGGTATATGGCACTAGGTCTGCGACTTTCCATGTCTTCTCTTCCATTCTTTTTTTTTTTTTTATATTGTCTTGGACAAAAAAAACTATCGATAAATAGTTACTAATCAAAAATTGCCTTTTGTCGAGCATCGAGGGACGGATAGGAGCAAAATATTTGAGTATCCTATTGAACTATCAAACTTTTATATTTTAACTCTGAAAAAAATTCTCTGGCTGGATCGTATTTCAGTACGTTTTAAAAAGTAATATTTAAGCATTTCGTGCAGCATATTTTATTCTACATTTTATAAAATTCACTTATTGATATTACAGTTATAAGTATGTCATCGGCTGTGTTAAAATAAGAATTAAACCTATTGAAATATTTAGTTTCATTAATATACAGAAGTACCATGTGAGATCGTATAAGAAAAAACAAGGTCATAATTAATCAAAGGTTTAATGTACCGACTAGTATAATCCTAGTTCAAGATCATTTCAAAGCTAAAGAGTATACGCTATATATTGTAATTTTGGGTAGATACATATTTCCTTAGTATAACTTTCTTCGTATTATGGATCACCACGTATTGTGCCTCAACAAAGTTTATTTAGTATAATATTAAAATTGAATTAATTAAAATTGCCTTAATAACCCGCTAAGTAGTTTTCACAATAGGAATATATGGATAATTAATTCACTACGTGTAATCTCGTATAGAAGGATACAATAGTATACGATACTCTAGTTTTAAATTAGATCTTACATAGTTGTAACTAAATGTACTATCAATTATTGTGGAGACTAATGCTTTTTCAAGTACCTAACAATACTAATATGATTACAGATTAATCTGAGAATGACACACAATTACGAAGCACAATAATGTTACCTGAACATTTTTAGCATAAACAATTATGATATGTAAATTTATGAAGTACAAATCTATGGAAGTACTCAAATACACTATACTAGTAGGATTCACACGCGTTTTATTCAATAACACTATTTTTAGGCCCGTTTCACGCATGACGGTTTCTTCCGTACGGATTTTAATCGGTAGTAAACGCATGAAAATAATTGCTGCTTTCACACGGAATGGTGAACGGATTTTTTTCGTATGGTCATCGTGCCACCGCCGTTTCATCAGTGATCTACGTGAATAAGCGTAATATTTCTCAAAATACGACTTTTATTCGTCTGCCGTCCGTTGTCAAAGTTGCTCTTTGTCGCTTTTTGTAATTAAATAAAAATATATGGTTTTTGACACAAAAATATTAATTTCCACTATGGAATGCAAACCTATCTTATTTATTAAGTCTAAAGATCTTAAAAAACATAGGAATATAACTAAAAATTCTTAGGGAAAAGTGTGTATTAATTATTTGGGTATAATCAGTAAATACGAGTTTTACGTCATTTTCAAACGATGATATAAAGGCCACATGGCAATGATACGTTTTCGATTCGTGTTGAAAACCAACTGAGTTAAAAGTTTAAAAATATAATATAACCAAATGTATGCAATTCATAGGAAAAAGCCGTCGTGCGTGAAACAACAAAAAAAATCATTAATAAAATATAAAATTATTTATAAAATTAAAGTAAAATAGTACAAAATTATAGAGTCAAATTCATAATAAATAATCTAATTATAATGATAAGTGGCATATTCAATATAATAATACTTCTGCGAATGGAGTTTACATCATTTAATGTTATATATTATATAAGTACATTATTATAATATTTTACACATTTATAATTACAATATATAATATTGTATTTTGTAATAACTAATAAATAATAATAACCTACTTGGTGCAAAGCATGTATTTTACCAAAATGGGTAATTTTTAATGCGTCTGAGTGGATAATTATTATCATTTATTATATCTTCTTATGTATTTTTATCGTTGTTAGAAATTGTTGTATGATACCATGTATATCTACGTCTTTGATAAGTACATTTTAGTAGATGAAATACGGAAAACATTCGAAAAAATCACGTTTAATTTCGAATTCTAAAAACTATATCAACAACTTTTAAATTTAAAATTCCAACTATAACATCGTAATTTTTTTTCACTTAGTTATACAAATTATTTAAATTCAAAAACCTCAAAGTATTCATCGTGTTGGTTAAAATTGACTATGAAATATTTTAATTGTAAAAAGATTATTCATGGAAAATTACAAAAACTAATAAATCATTTTAAAAATTATAAAGAATTATGAACAAAAAATATTTTAATCATCCAATTCTGACACAATTCTGTTATTTATGTATACATATATTATTTAATGTCATTTAAATGTGGCAGTATAAATGAATACAGTTAATTAAAATTTATTAGGTGATTTTTAAACTTTAAATTAAAAAAAAATTGAATTCAATAGTATAAAATTAACAGTTTTAAACAGCAATAATATTTCAATTTGTAAATTATAGTACAATAATTATTATGGCCTTAATCAATTAATCAACTGTAACTTAAGGTAATAATAATTTTTGTAGATATAGAACCTCAACTATAGACTATGGTAATAATTTTATATTGTTATGACATTCGATGTCCAATATAAATTTTACTGTCAATTTTTTGTTTTTTGAAACATAAGAAATTGTAAACAACATTATTCTGATTTTCTGTAAAATGCATAATATACAAATTACGAAAAAAAATATACCATCAAATCATTTCACGCATGTTGCTACGTAAGTAATTGCATAATCTAGCAATGGTTTATTGTCATTGATCTAAAATAGTATGCTTATGTATCACTGATTAAGTTTTTTTACGAAATAGATTTGATTAAGCAAAATATTATTTAAGCATAGAAAATTTAATTAAATAAAATATTAAATTAGGTGGCTAACAATTTGTATTAAATTAAAAAATTGATAATATTGTATTAATAATACCACCATGGATAATCAATACTGTGTACATACTTTGTTAATTTTACAATGATGTCCATGATAATACTTCCGTTATAACGTCATAATATATAGGTAGATTAAATTCATTTATTATTTAAATTATTTTGAAAGACGCAAGACTCGACTTACACACATTAGTGGAATTTCTGCCTCATAGAAGTTTTTTAGTTTAAGTCTACTACAATTTCATTTCTGAAGGTCTGCGTGGATCGTTAGAAATGTGAAAGCGAATCAAGTTTGAATTTAATGGATTCTGGTGATCATGTGGTTTTTATGAAATCTTGACTCCCTTAGTTCTGTCGTGTCAAGAACGTTTTCATATTTAATTATTTTAATGGAAGGTATAGTACAAAACGAATACTTGGAGAGACGATTTAGTGTTGGTGTACACGTTATGTTCAACTTTGAATTTTAAGATATAGTTTTGATCTTTCTTTTACTTTTTACATCGTAGTACGTAAATTGTTCCTATTTTTAAGCAATTATGATTTTTTCCCAGGTGTAGTAAGTTTATATTGGAAGAAAAATTAAAAAAACAAAGCAATATTATTTTCCGTATGCTAAGCTATTCGTATGTACTCATAAATGTAACATAAAAAAACACGTCTTTGCTGATTATTTTAAGCGAGTATTGGACGAGGAAAAAATACTTTTATGAAACCTGTAAATAACCACTATAAAATCATGTTAGATATTCTTACGTAATATAAGTTGTATTTGTTATGAATATATTCGACAACGAATGAACTTAATTTGAAGTTTATTTCACAAAAATCATAATTAAGAATATAAAAACTAAAAACATATATTTTTATGTCAACCCATTGGTTGTGGACCACAACTTGTCGTACCTTTGTACTGTCAATCTTATGAGCTATAGGCACATCGACCCTTACTCATACATATTTCCAAGATAATGCATTTCGAAGAATAGCGTATCTATTGGTCTGTATAAATCTAGATCAGGTTGTATGTGTATGGTTCTCTTCAAACGGAATAATTGAATGTCGAACAACAAAACACCTTTCAATTTTGTCTGCGGTGTTTGCGTGACTTAATAATAGTTTTTTCAATGAAATACATGTACTTGAATAAACATTCGATTTAATCATTTCTTAGTAAAAAAAAATGTCAATCATGGTTTACCCTTAGTGCAATTATAATTTAGTTAACGAAATGTATTACGGCACATTCCTATTATGACTATTATTATGAAAATATTTTGATCCAAAAAGTCTTTATTATAGAAAATATAATATTTAAAACACAAATTATCGAAAATCATAATACTCATATTATACACTCTTGCGTATATTAAAATTTTACAATGTAACATTGTTACAAATATAATGTTTTGATAAAATGTGTGGTCAAATATTTAATATATATTTATATAAAAACGAAGACGAAACTCTTAGATCAAGTGATATTTAGAAATCGTTGATGGTATTGATTCATTGTTCGCAAAATTATACTATCATTAGCGAACGATGATATAAACATTCAGT